CCATGCTTCTGCATGGTCTTTCTCTGCCAGTGTAGTGTTTCCCCCACCCAAGCACCATCCTGGCTGCATCTTTTCTTCCATTTCAGGAAGGAAGGCAATCGCCCACCTCTCTCCCCATATAGTAAGTTTCATAGAATTATGCCCCAGAAATGCAAAGCTATCCTTGACTGGGATTAACCAAGCAATTCAAATTATCATATATAGCTCTGCTACCTTCTTACCTGGAACAACTTACCTCCGGAGATTTGCGCGGCTCCCTCGCTGGGTATTTTCAAGAAACAACTGAAAATATGGATGTTTAGGCAGGCCTTCCCTCCCCCTAGTTAAATCCTAATTTATCTTCCCTCCTCTCTGTTATAACATACTCTGTTTTCTTGCCATCGTGGAGAAAAAAACTTTCTTTTCTTTTTCTAATTTATGAAAATTATGTTATATGTTATGTTTTATATATATACTTGTTTATTTTGTGTGTTGCAAGCCGCCTAGAGTGGTTGTAATTGACCAGATAGGCGGGGTATAAATTGAATGAATGAATGAATGAATGAATGAATGAATAAATAAATAAATAAATAAATTTCTATGGTGCCCTTCAGCAATGAGAACATGTTTTTTTCTCTCTTCTGGGCACACAGGAGCGCGAATAGCTACAAAAGCTAGAGAAGATTGCTGGAACAGTTTCCCCTGCTAATCAATAAGATGAAAACAGCAGGCAGCTTTTGCTGTAAACACACTCCCCACTGCAGAGCAGAAGGCAAGGAGGTGGCACGTGCCTGCAGGAGTGGGTGGGGAGGAGAGGGGAAGGGACGTCTGATTGAAATCAGAAATCAAAGCCTGCATCTTGCAGCTCCTCAGGCTCCAAAATGCTAACCTTCTGACAAATGGAGCAAGCAATGAAGACACAAAATGTTCTTGGATCATTGGAGCAGGACATGAAACAGAAATATGCAAATCATTGGGGAAAGAGCTATGTTGCAATAAATCACAGATCTATCAGATTCTTTATCAATTTTCCATCCAGCTAGGATATTATTTCTTCCTAGGAAAAGTCTGCAGCCCACTGAGGGAGATCTTACAGTTCTTCGTGGCCTCTGTAAATCACACCCTGGGTGATCTGCACTTGCACGGAGCCTCATCGGAAAGTTCTAGAGCTTCTGCGGTAGCAAAAAAACACATTAGAATAAGTCCCCCCCATATAAGTACCTTAGTGCCAAGGCTCCTCTTTAAGTTGTGCGGCTGAGTAGATCGGCCAAGTCGTTGTTGTGTCCGGCAATGTGTAAAGCCGTGAATCAGAAGTGCAAATGATACTGCTCCTGAGGCGGCATTGGCAATCACTCCCAAGGAGATGCATTATTTGGCCAATGGCCCAAGACCCTCACTGATGTTTTTCTGCTGTTCGTGCTTCTCCACAAGGTTGTGGTTCGCCTATAACAAGACAAACCCGATGCCATCATTATAGCCCCTTGGTAGCCAAGACAACCCTGGTTTCCAGTCCTTCACAATCTCTCATCAGACATTCACCACTTCCCTCGCCTGCCCCACCTCTTCATGCAGAACAACGCCCAAGTACTCCACCCAGACTTACCTGTTCTGCACCTGGCAGTGTGGAGGATTTTGTCTTGCTAATGAATGTCCTGTATAAATGGAACAGATTCAAATCTTTCACTGACGCTTCTTCATTGCCTTCTATCAACCCATCACTTGCTACTGTCCTACGTTTTTTGCTTCATCTCAAGTCTAGTGGCCTTTCCCTCTCTTCCTTGAGAGTTTACCTCTTTGCCATAGTTACTTATCAGCCCCCTAACTCTCCGGCAGCTGATTTCTTCAAACATCCAACACTGAAACATTTTCTTAAAGGTCTATATCATATCTACCCAGATTCCTGCCCGCCTTCCCAGCAATGGTCACTAACACTAGTACTGCAACAACTTACTAAAGCTCCTTTCAAACCTTTAGGTTCAACTGATTTATGGCTACTTACCTTTAAAAGTTTTCCTCATCGCCATCACCTCAGCTTGACAAGCTAGTGAGTTAGCAGCCTTACGTCCCATCTATCCTTATTTATGTTTTTTTCTGGACAAAGTCAAACTCTCCATGGATATTTCTTTCCTCCTCAAAGTCGTATCTCATTCCATCTCTCTCAGCCATTTATTCTTCCTTCTTTCTTCCACAACTCAAGAAAGAATCCTCCATACTTTAGACATTAGGCACCCAACCTTTTGGGCGTTCACCTCGATTTTTCATAAGTCACCAACCATCTACTAAAGGTCGACAGGTAACGTCTCAAGCTGTATCTAGATAGGTCAACCATTCACCTCACTTATCAGCTGGCATGCAAACCAGTCCCGAAGGTGATTTGCCCTCACTCCACCAGAGCAATGGTGACCTCTATGGCATTCCTACACAGCATACATCTTCTGGATATTTGTGCCTCTGCCACCTGGGCACAGCCATCCACTTTCATTCGGCATTATAGACTTGGATCTCGGGTAGAAGCCTGATGCGGCCTTTGGATGTGCTGTTCTTGCCTCTACCTTGACATGACACCCTACCTCCAGGTAAGACAGATTTTTAGTCACCCAGATTGTGATTCACGGAGGCCATGAAGAAGAATGACAGGTTACCCACCTGTAATTGTAGTTCTTCGAGTGGACCTCTGTGATTCACACATCCTGCCCATCCTCCCCACTGTCGTGCCATTCTGTTTAATGTAGCGGTGGTTGACATAACTGAAAGGGGAGCCTTGGCACCAAGGTACTAATCTGAGGGGGGAGGGGCCTTATTCTAATGTGTTTTTTTGCTACTGCCAAAGCTCTAGAACTTTCTGATGAGGCTCCATGCAGGCGCGGATCACCCAGGGTGTGAATCACAGAGGTCCACTCTAAGAACTACAATTACAGGTGAGTAACCTGTCGTTTCTACAACCAGTGCAAACCTATAATAAGCCTGTGAGTTTCCTAGCACGTGGGAGCACATTTAATAGGCTGTGTCTCGTACAACAAACCCCGTGTGTACTCAGTGTGCGGTGCTATGGTGGTCAGCTACATGTTTTCCAGAAGAAAAAGCAGTTTCCTATGTGCAAAGAAATGTATAGATCCATTCCAGCTATTACAATGTACAGAGAGGCTATTGTTCATCGTTGAAAATCTTGTGCTGGGGTGGAGATGGTAGGCACTGATGAGAATTGCAGCCGAACAATATCTGAAGGACCACAGGTTTTCTACCCCTGCTTTGTGTGCTAAGAAGATGTCAGAACAGGATTAATAATATTTTGTGTAAAATATTTTTCAGCAGCAAGGTTCAGAAATAGGAAGTGAATTCTGAAACAAAGGCACAGTTTGCACTGTAATCCCTAATCAGTTCAGAAATCTTCTTAATGCATTGAAGAGGTGACAAGCAGATGTGACTGTGACCTGTTTTGGCTTTTCTTAGTAGTTTCGCCATTCTCCATCTCTATTTTCAAAGTTTGCTGAAGAAGCTAAATCTCACAGTAATGCTTGTAGACAATGGACAGGACATAGAACAGAACCTCTGAATATGGAAGGGCTGCTGCTGGGAGATGGGACCAGGTTCCAGTGGAACGTCTTGACCAGGACAAAAAAAGGGTCTGTGGGTAGTACTTTTCCAAGATTCCTCCTCCCCGGCAGCCCCCACCCCCCCATTTATAGGATCATCCAGTTTGTTGAGTTTCACTTCAGGCCACTCTGGACTGAGCCCATAATTTGGCAAACACCTGCCATGTTTGGCTCAATAAAAATTATAAGCAGTCTCAGCCCTGTTTCTGTACGAAATGGACCAGTTGGAATAACCACAGGGGCTCTGTCTGTCTTCCTTAGAAAGCAAAGCACAGAACTGCACAAATGAGGCTTCATAGATTTAGAAGGTTGTGGCTGTAATATATCAGCACTGTTTTTACCAGAATACCATGCAGCCTGCCACTGGTAAGGTGCTTTTTCATTTCCAGGCCGTTCATGTTTGGTGATAACTGTGATCTTCCTTCTAGCTGGCTGTTGATTAGACTTGACTCACAAATTACACATACACTGGGGAAAGAGCCCAGGTACAGAAAGGCTCAGAAGGTAGGGCTGTGAAAGACTCCCTCCTGAAACACTGGAGAACCATTAGCACCTGGTGCAGACGATATTGAGCTAGGTAGAACAATGGCTAGGGTCACTATAAAACACATTTCACTATTATCATCATTCTTCCTCCATAGCTGGAAATTATGATTTATGAAATGGCAAAAATACATAGGAAGGGAAGATCTGTAAAAGGTTCTTGCTCCATCTCCACTGGTCCTTGATGAAATGTGGCATTGATTCTCACTGTTCCACATGTTACTGAAGCAACATGGGGCTCTGCCATGGAGAAGCATCTATATACTCCTTGGGAAATATCTGCTTTGAGACCCAACTGGAATAGATTTAAAAAGGGTGAAAAATCAGTCACTGAAAGAACCACAAGATATACGGCATGGTTCCTAAGCACCTGCAAGGACTTCCACCGGGGTAAGCAAATGAACTATTTGTGAACCAGTCCCCTTTTCCATGAAGGGAAGTGGCTTAAAGAGAGATATGGACCTGGAGATAGGTATGGGATGCTGATCTCTTCAAAGCAGCTAAACAGCTTGAGACCACAAATAAAAAAAATGCAATCTAGCAGTTGCACCACTTCACAAAACTAGTTCGGTATGGAAAGTCTATTCTAATACAGGCAAAAGAGGTGGGTACTCTCCCCTCCTGAGAATTAAAGTAGTAATTTAGTAAATAATATCATTTAACTGTATGCTTAGTAACTCATCAATTAGCATTAACAGAATAGGCAAATTTGGGGGAAACATTTACAGTGTGACATTGACTTAGACATCATTGTATTTAAATAGAATAATGTTACATTTTTAAAGAATTTAAAATTGGTTGACAACGTCCAAGCTTCTATCACAGAGTTATAAGACACAAAAATGTAACCTGCAATAAAACAGTGACTGATAGTTAGAGGTATTTTTTATTGAAAGTTGACAGAGATACAGGATCTATGTAAATTTCCCATAAGTTGTCTACATTCTCAGCATTTCCATGAGGTTTCACAGACTATTAATATTATCTCCCCACCCCACCCCACCCCAGGGGATTTACCCTGGAAGGCTCCAGGATTCATCAGGATAGACTAGGGCAAACTGCCTAGAATCCAAATTTCCTGGTTTAAACATTTTTGCAAGCTATTATGGGCTTTGGTCATACAAATCTGAAACAGATAAAACATACACAGCAAAGGTGTCTTGTGTGAGAATTGGGGGGGGGACACAGAGTGGTGAGAGGAGAGGGATAGGGGTTGGAAGCAGTCTGAATGCAACTGATATGTTCTGCAAAGGCCATGCCTATCTCTTAACAGCAAGCATTTACCCCATTTCTTCTCTTGAGCCTTGAAATTGTGACCTTGTTGGTAGGGCCAAAGCGGTTGGCTGATCAATTTGCCCTGTAGAGCCAGCCACCTGTCCCATCTCTTCCATTCACCTTGTGCTAACCTCCATCTCAAGATTGTTGTTCTCTCCATTTCTCCTCCAGCTGTGTTTCACCATCGCCTTTGATTAAGCTGTGCTGAGTTTCCCTCTCACCATCAAATCTTGTTTCTTTATCATGAAAATAAATACTTTTGTTTACAAAATGTAAAAGTAAAACTCTCTGCTATAGAAGTCTGCATACCAGTTCGGCTATTATGGGGGGAGCTGTGTGTGGGGCGGGGTCCTTGTTGTTTCTTTTATGTTTTGGGAAAGGGTGGCTTTCACCCTTTGGAGGGAGTTATGCGAGTGTTTGGCTCCTTTGTGTCCCTTCTGCGAGAAACTCCACGGCAGCTTCTGGCACAGGGGAATTTGGGCAGCACCTCCTGGCCACGTTCTAGTAGTCAGTGAGTGGGTATCGTAGGAAGATGAAGACAAGGATGATGCAGAAGGTGGCTAGTGCTGAGCTGGTTATGTTAAAAAGACGGGCTGTCTTGGCATCTTCAACAGCACCATTCAAGTCGTTGAGGAGTTTTTTATCCCGAACCTGGAAAACAAGAACACCAAATTAATGGGTGTGTACACATCAAAAGAGATACGAAGACATAATTAATTTAAACCCCTGAAAGAAAAGCAATGGATCGTTGCAAGCTCTGCCCCGTTTTCAGATGTTTGGAAGACTGGGTGTACAGTAAGTACCTAACCTTTTCTTCTTTCCTTCTGCCACCGCCTTGATGGCGTATATCTTGTGGTTCTTTCAGTGACTGATGTCTTGTTGAAAGTCACATTAGAGTAGGCCCAATGGAACTTACAGAGGAGTTGACTCACCAAATCCCCATTGATTCAATGGGCTTGCTCTAATGTGACTTACTATGCTAAGCAATAGGATTTCGGTCACTGTGGCATAATTTCCTTTGCCTGGAACGGATGTGTATGTGTGTAGGGGGGTTGGCTTGCAGCTTCAGGATTGTGCTTGAAGGATAAGAACAGGCTGTCCTACCTCATCAGTTGGGGGAAAAGGACTGCAATGGTGGTATAGAAGTTGATAGCTGAGGAAGAGCATGGCACAGGTAAGTCGTAATTGTCTCTGGCCATAAACAGGAACTACCTGCCCTGATAGCAATTTTAAAAATTATCTGTGTTAATTAATCTGTCTCTCAGCATGTTGACAAAATGGAAAGGGAGGAGTGGGGAGGGAGAAAAAGGGGGCAAACTATTGTGGTACATTAAGCGTATCTGAAGAAGTGGGTTTTGCTCTATGAACAATGAAATAAACCTGTTAGTCTTTACACTGCCATAATATCTTGCCTCTTTTCTTTCTTATCCTCCCTTCTTTCCCTTTAATTTTACCAACAAGCTTGCCATAGGAAAACAGCACCACATATCTAGCTCTTGGTAGGGCAATCTGTCCATATGAGTTCTATATAATGGGAAGAGGTGGGATGGGAAGGAATGGGGGCACCAGGACACAGTCAGCGACTAAGTGCCATTAGGGGAAGAAACTCTCATGCATCACAGAGGCATGTCATTCCCCTTTATCTCTGCCAAATCCGCCTCTCTCTCAAGCCAAAGCTATTAGCAAAAACAGCATGGCTTAGCATAGAGGTGTGTGTGTGTAAAATCAGCAGTCACATGTGCTTTTCACCACAGTAATTTCCAAAGTTCCTTTTGTAGAAATAAAGTTTAAAAAACCCATTAGAGCAGGCAGCATATAGTACAGTAGTGGTCCCCAACCTTGGGCCTCCAGATGTTCTTGGACTTCAACTCCCAGAAATCCTGGCTAGCAGAGGTGGTGGTGAAGGCTTCTGGGAGTTGTAGTCCAAAAACATCTGGAGGCC